CACACACACACACACACACACACACTCACACTCATACACATGCACACTTACACATACACGTGTGTAGTTGGCATGTGCTCTGGTGTAGTTTGTGCCTCCTTTTCTATCAAACATTTATCGTCCGTTTCTCCCCTCCTTCTTTTCTTGATATGTTACTCTCTAGTAACAGCTCTAATCTTGTGCACTTTTATGACTTATTTGTGTTGTAAGTGCCTTAAAAACTCTTACTTGAACTAAAATAATCTACTTAAACCACAGTTCAGGCGACCCTGGTTCTTTATCTTTGGGTTCAGTTGTCATTTTTCTCATTCCACTTGGCTCAGTCCTCTCTGAGATGGACGCTATATCAAAGATCCCGCCTCCTAGTTTACTGTGTTTTCTTCTGCTGACTAATGCAGGATTTTTGCGAGTCGTTTGTGAGTGCTTGGTGTTGTCAGCTCTTTCTACTTCTTTTCACTCCTTTCCCACCCCTGCCAGTTTTTGATTGATGTGTGTAAGAAGGGGGGGGGAGTCTATGGTGTCCTCTGAGAAGCCGGGAAGAGGCAGAACAAGAAGAAGAACGAGAGAGACAAGGGAAGGCGGGACAGGATGACTGGTGTCTCTCGGGACGCGCACGTAAATCAGAGCCTAAAGACGCGAGGTCGCTTTTAAATTGCTGACCTTTTCAGAGCTTCTCCAAGAATCTCGGTATTAAGGGGTCTCTCTCTTTCCCGTAAATGTACTGCGAGGGGTGATAGGCGTTGGAATTTCACTTCTGAGGGGAAAGTGCGATGTGTTTTGCAATCTTCGAGCGTGGATCAAGCGTGTGATGTTGGGGCAGGATTAAAGTGAGGGAAAGGGTGGGATGCACGATACAGAACGTGGGTTTATACACAGATCTGCAGACAACGAGACCGAAGAAAGAAAAAGAGGAGAGGGTGATAGGAATTACAAAAAAACGAGGGTTGATGAACGGTTGATTTAACTAAGTTGAGTGTAGGATTGGAAGATGTGCTGTCAAAATGTAAATATCCAAGAGAGTGTTTTTGTTGTGCCTGTATGTATGTGTGTGTCTACTCGTGTGTGTGTGTGTGTGTGTGTGTGTGTGTGTGTGTGTGTGTGTGTGTGTGTGTATGTGTGTGTGTGCGTGTAACTACGCGTGTGTGTGTGTTTGTCTGCGTGTGTGTATTTGTCTGCGTGTGTGTGTTTGTGTGTGTGTGTACCTGCGTGAGTGTCTGCTAGTGTGCCAGAATGTGTGTGTGTATGCCTGTGTGTGTGTGCCTACGCATGTGTGTCTGCGTGTGTGTGTGCGTCTGTATGTACGTGTCAGCTCATTGTGTGACAGTCTCATCCACCCGCCCTCTACCCACAGGAAAAAAAATCGTGCAGACTCATCAAACATTCATGACGACATCATGGTCTA